TTATATTAAATTGATAATGTTAATATACACTTTAAATGCATACCAAAAATATATTGTAATTTTTGTTAATGTAGTAAAGAAATTTTGAAAATTATAATTATTAAATAGAATAGAAATACAGTTTCCAAAAATCATTTTCTTGAAATAAATCCCATTGTGTCGTACCTAGCCTAAAATTTCTCCATTATATAGGTTCGATTATATCCTTCTTTCAACATATTTAGAGTTCAGTTTTTAAAAGTAACCATTACTAAAATAGAAATTTAAATTTTACTCATCTAAAGAATCAAATATTTACAAATTAGGTGAGGATGCTAAATGGAAGAAAAATTGGATGAGTTTTTTGAATATCGGCAGAGGTTTAAAAGGTAGAGCAAACAACCTTTGATGGACTTGAAGGAAACTATTCATCAACCTGCGATCCAAAATTTAATTACATTACTGATACTGGATGAGCAAATGTTCTTGATCATTTCTTTAAAATTCTTCAAATGATACATAGATGGCGTCCACCTGCAAATATTAATATGCTTTCTTATAAAAGGATTTTGTTGATGCATTCAGTTCAAAATATTTCAAGCTATATTATGACAAATACAAGTGTGAATTTTAGTTGAATCTCAGTAATTGTTTTTGAGTTTATTTTTTATATATAAAATTAAAATGCTGACTCTGGTGATTGTTTCTTTGTGACCAACAATCAACGCAGGCATATTTACATTACAATTAGAATGGAGACTTTTGTCGGCAGTCCTATATACTATAAGCACAAACATTATATATATTCTTCATTCCTATTTTTCATTATTTATATACTGTTTTAAAATCTTCTTTTGTTTGCGATTATTTAACAACATCAGTAATATTTTCAACCTATTTCCGGTACACCTTTAAATAATTTTGGTTTGAAATTAATGTAATGCTGCAAAAATATCATCAGTCAATATTTAGTTGCATGTTCCTTAACATTATAATCTAACAATATCATTTTAGTAATGGTAATTATGAAGTTCATATCGGTATTTGTTTAATGACCTGAGTCATTATTACTGTTTAGATGTTTGTAGGTTATTATGTTACTCCTCAACTAATAATAAAAAACCTGAACCAGCAACCAAGAGTACAGTAGTGATGTCTTATTTGTTAATTGCGCAACCAACGTTGACCTATTTCAATTTTAGTTTGTAGAAGATGAACCTGAAAATATTGGACATCTACACATTTTAATCCAGTAGTAGGTGCAGATGTAAACTGTTCAAATTATGCTGCAAATTTCTAATTCTGAAGTAAAAATTAACTCAGGAGGTTATGAAGGCTCCTTCTTATCTTCTGTATTTTTAACTCTTCTAGCAAGAGTACTATAAATGCAACAATTTGTAGATTATGTACTAATGGCTAACCTGGAAGAGGTATTTCATTAATTTGTGATTTATCCTAGTTTGTTAGTGATATATATGATAGGATTGAGGATGATCTTTTTATATGAGTATTCCGTGCTGCGTAAGTATATGTTTTTATTAGGTCTTCCTAGTTGTAGTTCTTGGTGGGCTTGATCAGCATCTCGTTCAGTGTCATAACAGATATTAATATTGGGTTGCCATTCGAATACATTTGAGGATTGCCACTTTTTCTTGAATTACTTGTGCCAATTTGAGTCAAATTTAAAGTGAAATTTGCTCTATTAATCTAATAATAATATAGGTATTAGCTTCCACAACTTGCTAACATTTGATTAAGTTATGCAAAATTGTTTGATCTTTTGCAATTATGCAACTTTTATTTTATTTGCTACAATTCTCTTATTATTAACTGATATTTGTGACAGTTTTATTTCACTTCATTGATGCCTTGCCTGACTAGGTCAGTCTAGAAATGGACTTGTAATTTGTAGTTCAGTCTTAATGTCTTTTAAGTGTAGAACATCAAGATCAATGTTCAGCTTACTATCTTTTAGTCATACTGCATGCTAACAAAGTGCTTGCAACTGTTACTTATATAAACAGGATTCATATATATTTGGATAATAATCTCCTTCTACTCACTTGTTACTATTTTCATTACCATAATTGCCTTGATACTTCGAATTAGTATTGTGTTTAGTTTACAACTTTAGCTCCTTCCAACGCTTATAGTATACACCTTAACCTAAAGATGGGAGTCTAAGAAGATGGAGGACTCTAATTGTTTGCAAATTCTAATACCAAACTTAAACAACTCAGGATAAAATAATGGTTCTTGTCTTGAATAGAGATATTAAAACAACAAGCATAGAGTGCCAAGGTTAGAGCAGAAGGATAGACTGTAGCTAGGGTAATGGCTGAAACTATAGAAAAGAAGATCAAAGCTGAAGCAGAAGCCAACTATGCTGAGATGAAATCCAAACCTTTGTAAATTGAATAAGAAGCTTTGTAAGAATAAAAAAAATAAGAGTAAGAGGCAGAGTTAAATTATGAAATAGTATTTAAATTAAATGTTATATTTCGTAACTTATCGAATAGGAAATCAAAAAAGCAAAAGAATTATACGATATTGAGATAAAGAAATTCAAATAATAAATCTAAGCCATTGAAAACGAAACTATAATAGCTATGGCTAAAGCAGGACCAGACACTAAATTTAAATTATAAGGAGGGCTAGGACTAAAGGATTTTAGGTAACAGATGGCAAAAGTCCAATTAAACTATACAATCCAGCTAATGGATTG